TTTTCTTTGTAATGAAAGGGAGGCAGAGTATATTACTAGTTTCGAGTTAAAATAATGGAGCATAAAAATGTTTTACCTTATGAAATTACTTCATCCTTATGAAATTATTTCATTATGAAATCATTTCATGCTATGTGATTTGTCTGCCAGTGCAAGCATTTGGCTGGTACATCAGTCTACTGACAGATATATTCTAACTTCAACAATGTGACCATTTTAAAAAGTATGAGTGAGAAAGAAATTCATTCAGCTGATACAACTGCAATTCTAATTTCAGATCTTCTTGGCCTCACTAAATATCTCTCATAATATTTATGGTCTGATTTTTATATTTCCAGCAATAAAAAGGAACGTTTGCCATGAGAAATTAACTGATAAATTGTAATAAAGCAAAATTAAATAGAGAAAGTTAAGTCCTTGATAAATAATGTCATATATTCATTTTGCGTTTTAGAACCCAGTATATACTTATTTTCTCCAGCATGTACCATTACCATATTGATGAGCATTAGATGGCTTAGTTCATGTGTAAAGAATGTAAAATAATGAAGGAAGCGAATTTATTTTTTTGTTTTCAGAAATGCTACAAAAAGAGCTGACCTATCACATTATTACCTAAACCGGTACTAACGGGTTACTGAAAGTGGCCACAAAAGTGACAGAAATAATAGCTTTACGTCCTCAGAAGAATCTCGTATTCATGGTCTGGAATAGTCTAGCTCTATTTTCCTTGTAAATGGCCTCTTAACGCACCCAAATTTGTCAGAGGGAACACAAGTGCCTCACCCCAGGGGTCCTTTTGGCCCAGCCAACTATATGACAGGGTCTCAACTGTGGAGGTAGAAATTACACAGGCTTTGTCCCAAGCATAAGAGATGACGTGTGAAGGGTCCTCCCAGCTGGGGAACTGGTCCCCATGAAGTTTCCTCTGCCTGGAGCACATTGTTTCTCTTAGCCTTGTCCTTTCCTAAGGAGCTCTTTCTTAGGGAGACCTTTCCGGCTGACACCCCCACCCCAGTCTGGACCCCATCCAGTGTAAAAACTCAGAGCCCCTGCATTTCTCCTTTATAATCATTGATCTTCGCCTGGAATTAGTGATTCATTAATTTGACTGATTAGCAGTCCGTTTTTCTCTCTCCCCTCCCCCCAGCAAGCTCCCTGAAAACAGGGAACGCTTTGATTTCATAGTGTCACCAGAACAGAGCAGAAGGCCCAGTTCAGAGTGGGCCCTCAATAAATATTTATTAAATGAGTGATGAAAGAAATACGATTTGAAGAGAACTTCAAAGCAGAATATTTCAGATCACAAATCATTTCTAGGTAGGCCCATTTATGCAAATATACACTATTTATCATAAAACCCTCAATTTACTGTTGCACAGGGAGACCATACTGCAAGTTGAGGGAGACCGTAAAACGAGCAGGCAAGTTAGTAGGAAGGAAAAATGCTGCACACCCGAAAAGGGGGGTTCTTAGAGACTGGATGGTTTACAAGGTCCTAACTGCCCACGTTTAGACCTTAAGGAGGGACGAGAACAGGGCAGAGCTATTGCTTCCCAGGTTTAAAGGCATGAACTCCCAGTCAGCAGACATCAAAGAGAAACTCCCTTCTGGACCAGGCACCATGTGACAGAACAGAAAGTTGCATGATGGGGCCACCTCTTTCTCAAGCTATCAAGACAGCTTCCAGAAGCACAGGTGAAACAGCAGCCAGTTTGGTTGTGTTGTTTACTTTTTTCTGTTCTAAAATGTTGAAAAGTATAGCTCATTAGGCATTCATTCACATGAATGTAAATAACAAGGAAGATACATTTTTCAAAAAATATTCTTCAGGGCTTCCCTGGTGGTGCAGTGGTTGAGCGTCCACCTGCTGATGCAGGGGACATGGGTTCGTGCCCTGGTCCGGGAAGATCCCACGTGCCGCGGAGTGGCTGGGCCCGTGAGCCATGGCCACTGAGCCTGTGCGTCCAGAGCCTGTGCTCCGCAACGGGAGAGGCCACAACAGTGAGAGGCCCGTGTACCGCAAAAAAAAAAAAAAAAATTCTTCAAGCACCACAGCAAGATAAAGCAGTTAATTTTTCTTAATTTTTATCAAGCTGTACTCCAAGCAACCATGCTTTTTGGATAAAAGTCAGTCCCCATCCCCCTTCCATCTGTTTTTTTACTCTTGCACACACTCATTTACACACAATTTAGTGCCAATTTTCAACAAAATAAGGTTTCTTTTTAATTTTTACATTGTGATCTTCCTCACTAAGTGGCTTGAATTTATGACTTTCTGAGAGCTAACACATTTATTTTTGTGTTAAACAAATATAAAGAATAAGGACGCTGAGTAGTGAATATCATGTCTTTTCTGGGGCTTTTAAGGCTATAGAGTTTCTTTTCTTTCCTTCAAAAGGTTGTACACAATAAATTACATTGCAAATAAAAATGAATTAAGTGAGACTGAGAGAGCAGAGAAGAAATAAAGAGGCGCCAGTTTCTGTAGAGGGTCTTTAATGGATGATGCTTTGGGACTACCAATTTGGAGAGAAAAAAATCAAATAAAAATCCATTCCATACTCATTTTGCAGACCTCATCCTTTTCTTTGTTTTCATATAAATAACTCTGCCAATGTTTTATTTTGTATAAGATCTATACTGTTTTTCTACTGTGTCCTAATGGTCTGCAAACAAATTCTAACTCTCTTAAAGGCAAACAGAAATTAAACAAATTAAATGCTGTTTGTTAAGTAACTTCAAAATAACAATAAGCAGGACACTTTCACTTATGCATCATCAACGGTACAAATTCCCCTTTACTTTCGCCATTGCTCCTACTATGACTAGCAGAAATCCTAAAAGATCAGACAATAAAAACCCAAAGAGGTCTTCACATTTTTTTCAATTTCATACTCAAAGTCCATCTCAATCTGTGAACTGCTTTCATCTTTGAGACTGTTTGAAACCCATTAATTTTATTCCTCCTTTGGGAAAGTAAGAACAAGCCATGATCACAGAGGAAACTGCCATTTCTCTCCCTCTGTGGAATCTCTCCTTTACTGTACTCCATTTAGCAGTGGCTAGGACTGCAGACCTGGGTTTATTCCATGCTCGGGAGGAATCATTTATTTCTCCATAACGCTGAGCACCTAGCAGAGTTCCTTGAATACAGAAAATGTTCGATGCAAATTCGGCAAAAGAATGGGTGAATGAAAGAATAATACAATTTTCATTGTTTTAAAATGAATCATTTCCACCCTGTTATCTTACTACAGTTTGAAACCCCTTGTCAGTCAGTCTTTACAAAAAAGCTTTTATAGGCCTCCCTATAGAGAAACAGATGATGGCACAGAGAGATATTGTGGCTTTAGGAGAGCTTAGAAAGAAGGACCTGTGCTCAACTAAGCTTCACGTGAAGTAGCTTTGTCTGAGTGACACTTCGGAGATTCTCCAGGAGGAGAAAGGATTATTTTGGAGTGTGAGGCAAAGTCAGGAGCTCCCAGCAGCAGAAATATTTCAAATGTTTTCATTCAGGCGGGGCAATGACCTGTCTACATCAAACCAGCACCCCCAACCTTGTTCCATAAGGCTATTAGGGAAATAACAGTGTGACTTCCTCTGAGAGAAATCTTTGCCTTTCACCGGACCTACCGTTGAGCCTTGTGTGTCTATCATTCCTTTGCTTTTACTTTTTTCTCTCAAGGACTATGGAACTTCCCGTTTGGTCAAGTGTTTAAGGGGTGAGGGAATTAATAAATCCTAATCCTACAAAGAGGACTGTTTCAGTCTGCCTTAATAAAAGCAAAGGTTCCTGGGGCCCTAAGGCCACCACCCAGCAGATGCGCCTGTGTCACGGACCGCGTAACTGCCATCCCTCCCATGTGTGCCAAGGAGCTTAACCACGGAGCCGTGACTACTTGCCTCCATGTGCGAAATGGGAGCACAGACTCCCTTTAAGGCAAACTTTGCAAACAAGAGTAACCTTGAAAAAGACCCTTTAGACGCAGATCAATGCTCAGGAACGTTGCCAACCACTTACATTCCCCTTTGACACTTCACAGATGTGTTACTTACGCTGGAGAAGAGGCCTCCTTCTACCCCAAACCCAAATCCCTGCTGTCCCTTGAGCTCAGTGGAGGCTTGTCGGATGAGCCCCTGGGGAAATATGAACGCCTTCTCTCCTTCGTCAACTCGGGTCACTTTGGCGGAGTCCTCCCTGCCCCTCTGGGAATACTTCCGTGGTGTTGTGACCTTAGCTTCTCCGGAGAATTCTCTATCTGTTCTGGAGGTCTCCTGTGGGTACCGGATTTCAGCCCCCTGGATCTGCCTGAAAGCAGAACCACCCGGCGGTCTCCAACCCCCCCCCCCCAAGCTCTGGGACTGCTGCGGGGCTGCTCTAGCCATTAATGGCCATCATCCATTTTTAATCAGAAAGATCACAAGAAGGATGGTAAGCGAATCCCAGTCGCAAGTCAATTTAAATAACATTCCTGGGGAAATCCAATCACTTAAAACTGAAACACCTACGCGAGCAAGAGCCCCCGCCCGAGTGGCGGGGAAGAGCGAGACGGCTGACTTAATCAAGATCAGGGGGCTCCCAGGCTTAGCGCAGAGCGTTAACCCTTCCAGCCCCGGAGGGTGCCAAGGGGGGCTTGGAAGAGCGCGGCCGGCCGGGGCCAACATGCCCACGGCAGCCCCACGCAAGCTGCCCCTGCCATCTTGGGCGGTTCCGGACGCCCTGCGCCCGGCCTGGGCAGCTGGGCGCGCGGGGTTAAGGTCAGAAGCTCAGGAGGCTGTTCAGGCGCGGGAAGCGGCCGCCTCCCGCAGCCTCGGAGCTCCTCGGGCTCCTCCTTCCGCCCAAGCGTGGCCAAGTGAGGACTGCTCCGGCCGCAGGTAGCAGAGGCAAGGGAGACGGCGCGCGGGACCCGAGCGGAGCGCCCGGGGAGGGACTGACGGACACGCGGACAGACGGATCCCCCCGCGCCCCCGGACCTTAGCAACGGTACGCGCGGGCCATGTGGGGACCCGGGGTCACGGCCGAGGGCCTGTCGGTGGCGCCGGCGCCGCCACCGCTGCTGCCGCTGCTGCTACTGCTGGCGCTGGCGCTGGTGGCGCCCTCGCGGGGCGGCGGGGGCTGCGCGGAGCTGGCGTGCGGCGAGCGGGAGCGCTGCTGCGACGCGGCCAACGCCACCGCGGTGCGCTGCTGCAAGCTGCCGCTGCACGCCTTCCTCGACAACGTGGGCTGGTTCGTCCGCAAGCTCTCCGGGCTGCTCATCCTGCTGGTGCTCTTCGCCATCGGCTACTTCTTGCAGCGCATCATCTGCCCTAGCCCACGCAGGTACCCGCGCGGGCAGGCGCGGCCGGGGCCACCGGGGGGCGCCGGGCAGCCGGGGGCCGCGAGGCCGCCCGACGACGACGACGACGACTCGCCCGCGCTGCTGCGGGACGAGGCGGCCGCTGGCTCTCAAGACTCGCTGCTGGACAGTGGAGGCGGTGGCCGGGGCCGGGCAGGCGGCGGGCGCTCGGCCCCTTCCTGCGCCTCGGAGCACGAGCTGCGCGTAGTCTCGCCGGTCTTCCTGCAGCTGCCCAGCTACGAGGAGGTCAAGTACCTGCCAACCTACGAGGAGTCCATGCGGCTGCAGCAGTTCAGTCCCGGGGAGGTCGTGTTGCCCGTGTCGGTGCTCGGCCGCCCGCGAGGTGGAGGCGCCGGGGAGTCCGACGGCGGCGGCGAGGGCCGCTTCCCGCTCATCTGAGCGCCCGGGGCCTCTCGAGGACCACGCGGACAGAACCGGGCCGGGGGCTACGGGTGGGACGCAAGGCCGGGGTGGCCGCGGCCGCCGCCGCCGCCAGTTGTCTCAGACCCCACCTGTCGCCCGGAGACTGGGTTGGGGCCATCCCCACCCCTGCCTCCCCCGGGATGTTAAGTTTCCCTACGTTTCATTCAGTTCAAGGAAACGTTAGGCAAGCGCGGCGGGGGCGACAGCAGCAGACGAGGCCAGAGCGCAACTTTGGAGGACGTCCCCGCCCTAAGCCTCGACTCGGCTTCTTGAGTTCACTTGTAAGTGCCTGCTTCCCGAATCAGAGAACATATGAGCTTCGGGGGAAGGGCAGTAACCTTTAGGGATGAAGCGAGAGGGACGCAGTTCCACTCCTTTCCCTCTCGCCTGGACAGGTCAAGGTCTCCCAGGATGGGCGGAGGGCGAGGAGGTGAGCCATGACTGGAGACTGATGCGCGCGGGTCTGGGAGAGCAGCACCTAGGTATGGTCGAATCCCTCCCTTGCGGAGAACCCAAGAAAACCCTTCCGTGTCTTCCTGGCCAAGCATAGTCACAGTTCACAGATTGGTGGGGGGAGAGCCGTGATATCCGGTTAGTTGCGTACTTATGCAGCAATTACGCGTATCCAGGACCATACTCGTAATAAGGTACAGTTGAACTTTTGATTTTTCAATAACTGAGAAGATATTTATATTTATTTGTCCTTTATTTTTATACTTTTACCATGTATTAAATAAACGCATTCGGAGGGTATCTCCACAGTTAATGACAAGATAATCATCTTAGCACCTTTTTTAGGCCTTAATGGCCCAGAAATTGTCTACACTCTATCATTACTGTTTAATAAAATGTTGGACATTATTTCATTTACAATGGGAAAAAGAAGAGGCATGGTCAAATGAGAAAACATATGTGATTAAAAACATGAAGGATACCTTATTTTCACTATTTGAGAAGAATATATTTTATTTTTAGTACTGTGGCATAATATATAACTTTTTATAATAACCATACATTATGTATGTAGTCAAGGTCATAGTTATATGTAAAAAGCATTGATACATGTATGCCATACCACGAAGCATGATGTCACGCACTTTTCCCTCCGTTTTCCATTTGGAATACACTTCACAACATTATACAAAGCATAATTTGTTGTGACTTGTGACTTTTGTTTAAAGCCATAATTGTGCAGTAAGGTACTACAGAAGGATTCAACCTATCTTAAGAAAAAAACGTGTTGTTGTATCAGTTCTACCATTCTGTGAAATGTCCTTTAAGCAAATGGTAATATAAAGTAATATATTAAAATGCATTATGTATAATGTACATATGCATATCATCTGTGTACAGTAAACACATTGTATATCATATAATTATTCCAGTTTGTGATTATCAAGAAAGAAAAAGAAGGAAAACAAATACAAAAGGTTTCTCTTGGGGAAGGATGAGTATTACACTGAGAAAAATTACTCAGTGGACCTCACACGTGTATCTAGACAAGTTGTTCTTATGATTGAAAAGTTCTGACAATCCTGAGAAATCTTAAAATATCTGAATTGTATTAGAAGAAAATGATTTGATTACTTTAAACTTTTTAAAGCTGATTGAAAAAGTCTGACAGTTCTAAGAAATCTTAAGATGTCTGAATTGTAACAGAAGAGAATGGTTTACTCTAAACTTCTAAGAGCTAATGACCCTGTCATTAAAGAGAATCATTTGAAGTGTATTAAAACAGAAAACATTAAAATCTTTCTCTGTGCAAATTGTATTAGATGTGTGACTATATGGTAATGTATTAAAATATGAAATGTGTGTCTTTATCATTTAAAAGCAATGTTAAGCTGTGAATTGGCGAAAGCATCAACAGTTGAGACTATATCAACTTTTTTGAGAATGGTACAGGATTTAATGAAATCACACTATATTGAATAATCACAAATGTTAATGTTACTCAAACACTACATTTTAATTACATGTGGCTGTCAGTACCACCCACTGTTCAGACAAACTGGAAATTTGCCTTATTCCTTTAAATGATTTATTCTTTGAGGGTACACTGTTTTAGACACTTTTAAAAACTCACCCATATCTGAAACATCTACATGAATATCCAAGTACCAGTATAAAAAGTATATCCTCTATGTTGTTACTACCAACATCTAGAAGTGTACGACAAAATCTTGTGAAAATACACTTAAAATATGAACCAAGATGTTTTCCTTGTACCAGCTGTGGAACACTTCTCTCCCTAAAATTCAGAATGTCTATAATGTGACACCAATCATGCAATGAGATTCTACTAAATTTTAAAGTTACAACAAGTTTTACACTTGTTTTTTTCCTACACATCACACAAGCTTTTATTCATATCCCCCAGTTCAATAAAAAATGAGTTTACTTTGGTTTTTTTCTTGTAATTCATTGATTTACCAAGCATGATTCTGTTCAGGCATAATTTTGTCGGGGGGGGGGCGGAATCCTGAAAAGCTATTTTTATTAGTGATAAATTAACATATCTCAGGGCAATACACACACATATGTAACACACCATATTAATACACACAGAACCCATGTGTTCACAACACTAGAATACCTGGATAGAAACATTTTTAAAGCACTAACAGCAATATCTTGGTGGTCAGTTTTATAGATTTCACCTGGAAGTTATTTATTACACAGAACTAGTAGAAAATAGAAATGTAGATAATAGTTTTATTCTTTCACCCGAAAATAAATCATGATGAGATGCTGATTTTACTTATTTTCAGTATTCTGTATATAGTATAGAATGCAGATATAGCTATATGGATACAGACATATCTATATAGATATATAGTCTGTGACTGATACCTTTTGCAGGGCTGCTACACACCATATCTTAAACAAAGCCACCTGGAAATGCCAGGTTCTCCAGTACTAACGAACTTTTGCTCCTGGTTTTCAGTTATCAAACTAATTCACGTACTAAAACATTTCAAACATTTTTATTTTCATTGACTTCTCATGAGTAGGGAAGTAATGGCCCTGGATATGTTAAGAATCCATCTGGAATGAGAGAAAACATGATTGATTTTCTAAATCGTGTGTGTATATATATATAATCACCAGTTGCTTAAAAGCAATTTGTAATGGTGTTGTTCAGTATCATAACCAAGAGGAAAATGTCTTCTTGAGATATAATGATAGTTTTAAGAGGCCATTAATTGCCACATTCTGCAAATGTGGGTGTGCTTCAGCCATGGAAAATGGCATTGGCAATTATGCCAAAGGGCATGAGGTGTACTATATAAGGAAAACAAGATTCAATTGTGAAGGCCAAAGGGAACATTAAGGAAATGGCCTCAACAGTTTAAAAGGCAATATGGTAAGTATCTTAATGTTGTACTTTTTGTATATAGTTTCTCTCAAGCAGAATTAATAAAGGAAACAATCCAGAGCTGAAACTGATATGTTATAAACATGATGTGGTGTTGAGATTTATACTATATTCTGTATTGACTTGTAAAAATTTTGTGAATCATAATTAATTTGGATTTCCACACTGAGAGAAACAATGAGTTGTTTTATTTTGAACAACCCAGCATTAACCATCTCTCCAAAAGTGTAAGTTACAGACAACCAATCAATAATAGAATATTTGACAAGTTTATGTCTGACTTCACTGGTTTACAATTTATTTTTTCATTCATTCTCCTTTCATCCATTGGTGAAAAGGCTAATAAGTGGTAGGCTTAGGGAAAGTATTTTGTCAACCAAAGATTAAATCAAGTAACCAGCTAATTGCAAGAGATTAAGACATCTTTTCTTCCATAGGGGTAGAAAGGATGTCTTCATTATGTTTTTCAAATTTTGCCTATAAAATAATTAAATGTCAAATAAAACCAATACTTTGATTATACTTAAATACATATAGAACCTAATTTATTTATTCTCTTTTACCTACAGAATTCACTTTTAATTTTATGGCAAAAATTATTCTATGGAGGATATTTAGGCTTGCCATTAAACTAAAGATTATCACTTTTTATCCCTCCTAGCTAAGCACCTTCATTGTCTTGATATCTTCTAGTTCTTATTTTCTTTCTTTGTGTGTTGTTCTTATCCTGCTTTGGATTTTCAGTAGATGTTTTCTCCCAAACTCGTCTTTTAGAACTCCAGGTTAATCTTTGCTGTGATTTAATATCACTCTGGTTATGCCTTGGCTTTTTGCACAAAGTTTCTTCTTTTGGTAAAACAGTATTTTCCAAAGTGTTTATTTTGTGTTCTATTCGCATGTGACTTCTGTCGTTTTCCAGTTTTGAATGAGGTAATTTTTCCTTTTTATCCACTAAATGACTGTAAACATATCTCTTTGTTCTTATCTACAGAATTTTCTCTGTCACACTGGGGCAGAGATCAAATCTTTGCATCATTTTAGCAAAGACTTTAATTTTTCCAGATTTCAAACACAATAAATCTTTATTTACCTCTTTGTCTTATTGCTGCCTCTTTGTGGGCTACATTTGTTTCATCAGACAAAGGATTAGAATCTTGCAGATTTGCTCCTGTTTTATTTTGGTTTGTGTGAATTTTCTCTTCTGTATTGACCAAAGATTTTACCATATCAAAATTAATTTTTGATTATTTTCCTGGGTCTTAAAAGTATCTTCTCTTCATTCTAGATTTCACTTTTCTCTTGCAAACTCTTCACTGGTTTGTCACCACGTGCATAACCCTTGTTGAACTGGCCAAGCTATCAGATTCCTGTAAATTTACACCAGTTTTACTTCTTCCTCTGATGTTACAGTCTCTGTCTTTTGTTTCATAGGCTCCATCTTCAGAGTTTTTCTCTTGGAAACTCCTCACAGTATTCTTTTCATCTTTCTTTATCTGAATCTTTTTTTTTTTTTAAGAAGATGTTGGGAGTAGGAGTTTATTAATTAATGTATTTTTGCTGTGTTGCGTCTTCGTTTCTGTGCAAGGGCTTTCTCTAG